GCAGGAAATGTACAACTTACTCTCTCCACAAACCTGAGAGGTAAGTGGAGTGCCATTGCACAAGTGCTGTCCTTCTCCAGTTACTGTAGCAGCATGGCATGCTTTGGATCATTAATTCAAGTGTCTAAATATTACATACTTAGCAGAAGATGCTGAAAAATTTATAAGCAGAAACCTTCTTCGTCTGAAAAGGTTAATCCTATTTAAACAATCCACTTGCACACACAGAAAGATTTTAGCCTAAGTGGCCGTGGTACTGTCCATGACGTGGATCTGTGTACACAGTAGTACCTTGCTTAAGTTAACCTGCTGCTTAAACCAGTTGTTCTCAAACTTTTTTTTGGTTGAATCTCACCTTTTGTCTTTACTCCTGTTTTTTGGGGAGGCTACAGTTTTTACTTTGGAGCTTGAAGTCAGTCCTTTATAGCTGAAATTAGTATGGAACAAATAACATATTTTCGTTGCAGAAGTTTGCAACCTGTGTAGCTGAATTTTTATCAGTTTTGCCATTTTATATATCAATATTTGCTGGGAAATCAGATAGTTATAACATCATGAGCAATAGCTAGCCATCTCACTATTTTGCTAGTATGTTTTCAAAATGTATAGCGAGAATGGCAATACTTGGTCAGGAGAAATTATATTGTCCGTGTTCTTGGTGCATCTATTTCTGTCAGAAAGGAGTAGTAAAGATGATACGGATACAGTTTGGGGCCAATTATATTGTAAAACAAGTGTGTCACAGTAAGACCAGTAGTGGCAAGGTCTGCTTAACAACTGCGTCCTTTTTGTATGTGCGTATGTTGATAGAGGTTTAATTATGGGTTGTGTACGCATGATTGACCACAAAGCAGTTACACAAAATAGTCCTGGCACGTGTTAGATGGAGTATTTTTGAGAGAGTGTGTGATGGTGAAGGTGTTTTAACATACTACATACTTTCATAATTTTTTTGCTGACATATGGGGAAGGAGTAACTTTGAATGTGGTTGGCAGAAAATAGTCTCTTTTGGCACATGCCTCTCTATTAGTTTCTGTAGAAGTATTTCAGGATTCCAGTTATTATACTTAGTTGTCAAACTGTATTCCGTAGTCGCAAAAGCCTCTTAGTTTAATGGAAGAAACTTGTCTGCTACAAGATGGCTGTTGAGGTTACAATGAACTGGATGTGGGACATGGCATATAATACTTCATTGCCTGACCTGAAAGTTCAAAACATGAATGTTTTCTTCATAGACTTAGGAAACCATGAATGACTGATGTCCAGCATGGTGTGAATTATAAGCTCCACACCAGGAAGATGCTAAGCTACTGACTTTGGAACAGTATTTGAGAAATATCTTCAGGTGTGTGTCCTGTTCATTTCTTCCTTCCTTAAAGAATGAGAAAGCATTGCCCTTCAGGTCTATGAGCTAGATCAACTGTCATTCTGACCCAATGTCCTGTTTCCTTAGCAAACTTTTAATATGGTACTTGCTTTCTTGAATTTGACCACTTCATTTATGTACATTGAGAAAGATGAGAATCATTCTCTGCAGCTACTCAGTGTTTTTGTTTGGTTAGAGTCAAGATCATCTGTGTTACAGCAAGGACCTTGCTGGGTCTGCAGGTTGGGTCTGCTGAAGGATGTGGTAAATGGTTGTTTGGTATTAAAGGATTTCGAGGATCACTGGGGGCAGATTTTCTCCTTGCTCACTCTTACGAATTTCTTGCTCTGTTTGAAACCCAGAAATCTTCTGTCTAGTTTAAGGGAGTGATGAAGAAGGAGGAAATACTGTCCATCTTGGTCAGCAGATAAGACAAATACAGGGGACAGAACAGGGGGGAAAGGTGAGGTTTGACATTTTCTTCCCTTAAAGCATTATGGCCTTTAACAAGGTGCTTTTTTTTTTTTTTTAAAATGCTGCAAAATTGTGGATTGTTGAGTTAGACCCTCCTAGCTCACTACCAGATGGTTTTGTGAGGGCTGCAATACAATACTTATTTGGAAGCTAAGCAGTCCTACTTTGTGCACTGGTGTTTGTTTTCATGGGAAGGGACTATAAGATAATGCTCAGTGTGTCTTGGTTGATTTGTCACTTATTCAAATGGTTGTAAAATATGCCTGTCAAAGGTTTGCTTCTGTGGTATGTGTAAACTGTTTTAAATCAAATTGCATGCTTTTCTGAAACCTGCTTTGATTCAGCTCACAGGCAAAAACCACTCTAAAGTCTTGGCTATAGTTATTGGTTGTGTAGCTGCACTCTTTATGCCATTATGGCTAGTAAGGCAATTGACTTTCAGATTGTGTCTATGTGACAAAATGTTTGTGAGATGTTACGTTGTTGGCTTAGATCACTGGTATGGAGGTGCTGAGCATATTCAAACCACAGATAGCAGCAAGCACCACACAGCCGCTTGCTCACACCCCCTCTCCCCCATGGATGGGGGACAGAATTAAAGGGGTAACGGGAAAAGAGACTTGTAGGTTGAGATATGAGCAATTTAATAACTAAACTACAACAAAACTGAAAATAATAATAATAATATATGCTTATATACGAATGAGTGATACACAGTGATACTGCTCACCATCAGATGACCAAGGCTCAGCCTGTTCCTGGCTAATGATCCTGGAGCAGAGTGAGTCCCAAAACCACAATCAAAGAAAAGAGATAAGAGACTGAGAGCTGACAGAGAGGGAAATGACCCAGGGAGAGAGAGAGACTGAACTTCTGGACAGATCCTCATTTATGTAGTCCATGATATGGAATATACCATTATCCAATTTGGGTCTCAGTCTTAAACCTATGATCAAATCCTAGACCAGTAACTGGGGCTGTGCTCCCTCCCAGCTTCTCCTGCACCTGCAGACACTGGCACAGCAGAGATGCTGAAAAGTCCTTGATTGCCCTGGCAGCAACTATAACCATCAGTATGTTATCAGCTGCCTTCTCAGCACAAATCCGAAACACAGCCTCACACTAGCTACTATGAAGAAAGCTAACTGTCACAGTCGAAACCAGGACAGGAGGTTCAGTTCCCATTTTTCTGTTAAAGGTTTGGGGTTTTTTTGGGGGGGACTTGTAGAAGGCATAGTGGAAGCAGCGTCTTCGCATAAGGAGTTGTCAGATGTGTACTTTCTTGTTAGGCTTTACTTTGGAGTTTTAATGTTTGCAACACAATTTTTTATTTTATCATTGAGAAAGTAATGAGTTTAGCTTGCAGCTGGTGGGTTTATCTGATGTCTTTATCCTTTCTCAGTTTGTCATGTTGGTTTAGCAAAACAAAAATAAATTTGCTGTACTTCCTACATTAATACAAAATTGCAGCTCCAAAGCCAGAGTGACTGAGTAGCCAAAAAAAAAAAAAAAAAGCTCTCATAAGGAAACAAGTACTTTTTAATCTGTAAGTGCTGATTAAGTCAAAACTGAAACATTTTGCAAGGATGGATTATCATCAAAAAGATTTTTTTAATGTCTTGGATGTGTGGTCATGCTGAAAGAGCTGAAGATGCACTCTAGAAAAGCCAAATACCTCATGCATTTTTAGGGCAGTCACTCAGGAGGTTGGCTGCAGGCACTGGGAAGAAGGTTAAACTGCAGAGTCACAGCCTTCCTGAGACACGTGGCTTGGATCTTGGTATTCCACTGCCACATGAGGGCCTGATCTTTTCAGCTATCAGCTATTTAGGAGGGGACTGATCTTTCACTTGTTACACCTATTCATTTGTGTATCTTGGAGCACAGATATGCCTTATGATCCAGGCAAGCTCTCAGATCACTGCTGGGATGTTTGCTGTTGTCTGCTAAATGCTCCTTTTTTAAATTGTGATACACACCCCTCTACCCCAAATAGGAAGCAAACATGTAAATGTTTTTGAAGTCTTAATGATTTTTCACAGAATAAGGAAAATGAGTCATTATATGTTCAGTTTTGAGAATACCTATTTTCTTTTACTACTTTTTAAGGTATTTTAATTTTCTCTTTTAATATATTCTCTGCTTAAGTTATGAAACTTTGTTTGCTTAAGCTCTTGTCAAAGGATGTAGAAATAGTTTGCTGAGTGTATAATTAAGTGAATCACAGGCCCTGATCCTGTGAAGTACTTATGAAGGTAACTTTGGATAGGGCTGTATCTTTGGATAGGGCTGATAGCATCAGGTGTGCACATAACTTCTTTACTGGACTGGGGTTGCATGATCATCATTAGAATCTTAGTTTTGAAAAGTGAAAGTTGCATTTCAACTGTTGTATTTTATTTGTCAGCATTTAGTGCAGGTTGTAGACTTGTGTTGGTCACAGTTCCTTATTTGGAGAATAAGAATTGCTTGTGCTTCTGAACTAGATATGTAAATCCAGTCAAATTGACCTAGATGCAAGATTTAGCAGTTTGACAAAGCTTCATCTATTCATGTTCTAATTTAAAAAAAAAAGACAAACCCCAATGCTAATGTTTTTGTTATTGCTGTGTATTCTCATGTCTATTGTTTACACAGTGAATGCACAGGCTTTGCAAAATAATGCATCAAAATCTTTGTGTATTTGGTGTTTTTCTGCATGCTTTTTTTTCTATAAAGCTTTTCAGTATAAGGATTTTTTTTTGCAGTTTTGCAGTGAAATTAATTACTTAATTGGCTTTAATATTGGGACCCTAGTAGCCATGGTGCCTGGAAGTTGTAATGGTTTTTGTGTTGAAAATGCTGTTCTGAATCTTAAAAAAAAAAAAACCCAAACCAAACCCACAAAACAACCTTAAAATAGGGAGGAGGTGGTCAATGGGCAGAAAGCAAAGGACTGTGTATTTTGGAATAAGGTTGTTGTAATTTGTAAAACATTCTGTTATTGGATACTGTTACTTTAGTACTCATTTTTTCTTTTGTCTGTAATGGAGTTTTCTAACAAGGGACTTGATGTGTGTTGACCTTTGACATATGACATTCTTGCGTTTGCATTTTTTGATTTTCTTTTTGTTTGCTTTGTTTTGTGTTTGTTTGGTTTTGTTTTGCCTAAAGACCCTGTGTGGACAGTAATGACCGCACGTTTCCGATTGCCTGCTGGCAGAACCTACAATGTACGAGCATCTGAGCTGGCACGAGACAGACAGCATACGGAGGTGGTCTGCAACGTTCTTCTCTTGGATAACACTGTACAAGCTTTCAGAGTTAATGTAAGTAGTTTGCTTATTGTGAATCAATATCACTGAGCTTGCTTTCCTTTGCTGGATTTGTATGGCTAGAGTTTGAACTTTCAAAATAGTGTTAAGTACACAATAGAAAGGGAAGTTATGTTCATGCAGGCCTGCTTGTACATGTGCATACTAGGTCACTGAATCATTCTGGCATCCTCTATAGTACTAACATATCTTTCCTTTGTATATTCAACTTTGAAACAAAACTTATTTGTAATAAATAATTCTCTTCATGGGCTAAAGTCAACTTTGAAACAAAACTTATTTGTAATAATTCTCTTCATGGGCTAAAGCTGTACAGAGGAACCGGAGGGCGGTTTTGACGATGTGTTGATTGGGCAGTAAGCTTTTGTTTTGTGCCATTCTGATTATTGCATTTTGAGCATGAGTAAGGTGAGGCGGTAACTCTTCTCATGACTGTGTAACTATGTGCAGTCACTTATATGGCTATACTTGGTTATAGCTATCATCTTAAAGTATCTCTTTGTATTCTTGTTCTATGATTTCCCTTGCCTAAACTCACCACCTTCTAATGCACTAATAAGGATGGCAGGAAAGAAAATAGGAAGCTGGTTGCTGAATGCTAAGGACTGTTATTGGGAAAAGTGAATAACTCTTAGGTACGAGCCTGGAATTTAAAATAGGTTATTCATCAGATATTCTAATCTGTAATCTTTGATAAGGACTTAAAATGGAAATGTTCATGATCTTTGTGCATATGTTCACACAAGTGCAACCATTTCTTTTGTCTTGAGGAAAAACCCCACAAACACAAGCAACGAGTAAGGACCTCAAGAGAAAGCAGTAAAGTATTTAAAGTGATCTTTATGTGAGAAGAACCAGAACTCAACAGGAAAAAAGCTGTGGGGTGTCCTTGGGCAGGAGAACTCAGCTTTTACTTTATAAGCTATAGAACTGGTGACTTATATGGAGAAAGGTTGAATAATGGTGATAGTGAAAGTTCAAGGCGGCATATTAAAGTTTTTCAAGAGAAATTTGAACTTAAGCAAACTGAAGCAGTTCTCAAATTTTTGTGAATAAGCTTGATTTTGACTATTTGAAAGTGTTCTAATGCTCAGCAATTGAATTCTGATATCCAGTGTTCAGTGAGGATATTGATATATTTGAATGTTTTAGGGAAGGTTTGTGAGAGTGATTGCATTTCTCTGTACTGTGATTAAGTGGTTAGAGCCTGTACAGCCTGCAGCTTCCTATCAGAAGAGCAAAACCTCTGTTATCTAGCAAAAACTTGCAAGGATCCGGTGTCTAGTGGATTAAGATTTAGAGGTAGATTTGGTGGTTATTTGTTTTAGCTATTTCAATCAAGATGGAACATTTTAAGATGTTCTCTCAAAGCATTTTTGTAGTTCATTCAGGAGCTGTTTAACTTTTTGGGACTTCTGAGTAGTTAAGGGTGTGAATTTTCAATGATGGAGCTGAGGGAGGGATGACCAAAGACTTTTAATTTATCAACATTAAGCCTCATTTCCTTTCTGGGAGAATTTCTTCTGTATCCCTTTCCCCTTTTTCTCTGCAGCATCCCACTGCTCTTCTGTATCTCTACTCATCCTTGCTAACAGTTGCCCGGTCTACACTGCCTCCCAAAAAGCAGTATGTGCAGAATGTAGTTGGAGACAAAACATTGAAAGTGCATGAGAAGATGTAAATGTTGTGTTCTTTGCTTTCAGGTGCATGAGTTTTCCGTTAAAATATCTGTCTTGCAATTTTTTGTTTGTTTATAAGAGTTGTCTAAAATAAGGAATAATTGTTGTACAATAGGTATGGGAGATTATGCTGCTTCTTGATCTAGGTGTTCGGATGCTGTATGTTGTTAGAGAATGCTAGTGCCTGTCTAGAGTAGAATCACCAGTTATAAGTCCTCAAACATCTATTCTGTCTCTCCCAAGAAAAAAAATATGTTGTATGTTCTTGCCACCTCCCTAGTGTACTAAATATTTTAGTTGCATGGATTACGTTTTACTGCTTATAGAGATCAGCCTGCAAGTTTGCCTGTTAAAACTGAGTTTAGGGAATAAAAACTTCCTTGGTGCTCAACATTCTGATCTCCAGGCTGAGCCTCAATCTGTTTTTTCCAAAAATAGGAAGTAATTAAGTATTCAATCATAGCAAATGTGTGCTATACTACATGGTATCCAGGTTTTCAGGTTTTATAGCTGTGTTTTACTTTATTGTGGTTGACATAATACTTGGCAATAAGTATTTATGGAATTGTTTTCAAAATAGGAAGAACAAAGATAAGATCAAATAAATTAGCAAAGTTTTTTTCTCCTGGTGATTGCTATAGCTATTCTGTATGCTAATGACTTTAAAGCTTAATCATCTGGAGTGTGCACTGCTGTATTAATAAAAATGTACTCAAATGCTATTTCTTCTCCAACAGTAAAGTACTGATCACAGGCAATATCTCTTGGTAATTTATGTGACATGTTCTAAATTCACATTTCAACCAGCCTTTTCCATTGATCTGCAAAACAGACAATGTTTGTGCTAAGCCTTACCTTGTATAGAGCGTAACAAATCAAATCAAATAGTCTCTGTGGATTGAAGCCAAACAAAGGTTATTTTGGTTGCAAGGAGAAGAATCAGTTGAAACTTAACTGTGCATATGTTTGAAGAGTAGAAATCCTTTCTGTAGAATGCTCTGCTCACCACGTGAAGAACTCCTACTTCAACCCTGAAAAGCATACTTCGTACAACGTGTATCTGGAAGAAGTGAGGCTTGCTTCAGTTAGTAATGTGATGGGGATGATTTGCATTACCATAAACCTGCTTCTTCAAGATGACATTGCTTTACTTGGTTTTAATTGTTTAGATGCCTCAAATTGTGTCTTTTCCATGCAGGCTGATTTTATTGTATTCCCTGAAAGCCAGTACATAGAGATGGACATCACACTAAACTTGAGGGAAAACTCAGTCAAGGTAGATCGGATGAGTTGTTCTGTGAGCCAGGATAGTGGGTTAGCGGCCATGGACAAATGTTTCAATTTGGAGCCTTTATTATCATCTCAGAATTCTCCTCAAACTTAATGAATTTACACTCTAATGGAAGTAAAATCTAAAAATCTGTAAAATAACCTAAACCAAAACAAAAAAAAAAAACCCCACACCAACTCACCTGTAATTTCAGCATGAAAATTTTCAAAAATTTAATCTACAGCATTACTTAGTTGCTTCCCTTTTTTCTTTGACCAAAAAAATAATTTGCTTGGAAACTTTGGCTGCTTGGAAACTTTAAAAAAAAAAAAAATAAGGTGTTCAAGGCCAGGTTGGATGAGGCTTTGAGCAGCCTGGTCTAGTGGAAGGTGTCCCTGTCTGTGACAGGGGGGTGGGACTCGATGATCTTTAAGGTCCTTTCCAACCCAAACCATTCTATGATTCTGTAATAACTTTTTGCAAATCTACTGTAAGTTGTAGAACGAAAGGAGACAGTAGTGCAACACTGACTGTTTGGGGATGCGCTTGCTTGAGTCGCAATGCAAGTATTGTGGTGAGCTGAGAGGGGAGGTGTTCCAGTGTTGTCATTAGTGAAGGAGCAGCGCAGCCTCCCACGGACCTGTGAGCAGCAGAGCTGTCTGATCCCTTCCAGGAAAGTCCAGGACCTATCATCCCATTCCTCTGTCATCAGAAATCCAAATTTGTTTGGACTGACATGGCAGCGATATCTCCTGTTGTTTGCTGTAGATGCGGCGAGTTCTGCAGGCCAGCAACCGAACCAGAGTGTCAGTAGTATAAACTGGGAAGATTGTGGGGGTAGTTGGTAAGCAGGCATTAAATCTGTGTTACTGTG